CCTTCCTAGCTCAAGCGTCAAACCAAGCGCTTGAAAAACAATCTGATGTATGCCAACAGCTTCTTGAACTCAAGGAGGCGGTAGAAGAAACAAAAATACCTGCACAATGTACCGCCTCATTCGCGGACATGGTTAAAAAAGGCACAAATGACTATATTAAGCCCCAGAACATCAACTCGGTAGTGATTTATCCTTCTGATAAACATAAACCTAGTGGGCTCTACACTGGAATTATTTTTAAATTCGATAAGGCTTAGCCATAAATCAGGAAAAAAAGATGCTGAGACCTGCAACTACATCATTGAAGTTACTGCTGCCATACGAAAAGCCCTAATAGCTAAAGAGAGAGCATTTGTTAATTGGTCATCTTGCCCAGTGAGGGACTTCACTCTGGTTACGAGATGTTACAAATGTCAGCAGTATGGACATACCGCGAAAACCTGCCGAGAGCCCTCTTACACCTGCGGACATTGTGGTGACAAGGACCACTCTATAAAGGATTGCCCGAACAATAAAAACGAAGCAAAATGCGCAACCTGCTTACATTTCAAAAAACCAGGGACCACAGCACGGGTGCCTCTACCTGTCCGGCAAAAATAATGGCTGAGAAAAGGTACATTAATTCAATCGATTATGAAGGCGCCTAAGAGCGCCTTTTAACTGTAATTTTGCAGACCTATTTTTTTTTATTTCTTTCATTTCTATTTTTATATTTTTTATACAAATTATAATATTTTTCTCATAATATGATTAATACTTTGATAAGTGATATTGATAACTTCTCTTTATCTAAGTCTAAGATTTGTGAGGTAGAAGATTGTAAGCAGTACTTGTCAGTATATACGTAGCATATTTAAGAATTTCGATGATTTTAGTACTTTCCATCACAGACTGGATATAACCTCTGATGTTATAATTTTAACAGAATGTTGGCTAACTAACAAATACAACCTACCACAACTCCCGGGGTACAGCATATTCAAAAGTAATATTATCCACAATCAAAATGACGGAGTAATAGTTTATGCAAGGTCTCACTTAGATGTGTCTGTTGAGGAACCAAACATGCACGAATGCAGTAGATTGTTAGTTAAAATTAGCTCAGAATTTGCTATTTTAGCATTATATAGACCACCATCGTTTAAAAATACTAAAAAATTTAAAGAATCTTTGAATACAGTATTGCGAGACCTATCCTGTTTTAAAACCGTAATTTTGATTGGAGATATTAACATCGATATTCTCCCAGAAGGTGCTGACGCAGCGGCGCAGGACTACCTAAACCTTTGCTCCTATCATGGCATGCTCCCCGCACACGTCCTCCCTACACATCAAAGTGGTTCATGCCTCGATCATGTTTTAATAAAATCAAATTTTCAATCACTTGCCCTTGTTACCAATTCATCAATAACAGACCACAATGCTGTCCTACTTACCTTAAATTGTAAATTACTTAAAACAGCTGACGATCGCACTATTACAAAATTACATATAAATAAACTCGAAGACGACTTACATAACATAGATTTTAACCCAGTTTTCAATTCTGCTGACCCAGAGTTTTGTATGCAATATATAATTGATAATTTACAATCTATCATACAGAAAAATACGAAGACAATTCGAATTAATAGCAAAAACTATAATATTAAACCATGGATCACGCCAGGCCTCATTCGCTGTTTGAGGCACAGAGATAAACTGCATATGAAGGCGAAAAGCAATCCATGTAATGATACACTGCAATTAACTTATAAAAGATATCGTAATTTTTGCAATAATTTACTGAAAAAAGTAAAGTCAAATTATGACGAATCAACTCTCCAATCAGCAGGCACAAACAGTAAACAGATATGGAGACACATTAAAAATATAACATATGCCCCAAAGCAAAATGAGTCCTCCTCAAGTTTATTACACACACACTCGTCGCAATTATTGTCAGCTAATAATGTCAACGATTTTTTTGTTAATATCGGTAAATGTTTAGCCGAAAAAGTCCAAACCACATCACAGTGTCAAACTAGCCCTTTATTTAAGTCTAGTACCACGCAAACGTCTTTTGTGTTGTTTGATACAGATGAATCAGAAGTAGGAAAGATAATAATGAACTTAAAAGAGAATTGCGCTGTTGGGTGGGATAATATCCCTACCAAAATCATTAAAAAATTTAGTTACATATTAACTCCACCTCTCACATACGTTTTCCAGAAATGTCTTTGTACTGGGTATTTTCCCAAATGCTTGAAAAAAGCAATCGTTACTCCAGTTTTTAAATCTGGCAATAAAACTCAAGTAACTAATTATAGACCAATATCCGTACTGACGTCATTATCAAAAATACTAGAAAAAATTATAAATGCTAGATTGGTAAAATACTTAGAATATAAATCGATATTATCGAAAAATCAGTTTGGTTTTAGATCTAAAGTTTCAACGGCGGATGCTGTACATGAACTAACTAACTACATAGCTCAAGAATTAGATAAAGGTAATTACACCATCGGCATTTTCCTTGATCTTGCACAGGCATTTGATTCTGTATCTGTCCCGTTCCTTCTGCGCAAACTTGAAAACATCGGAATAAGAGGCACGCAGCTCAAACTTTTTACAAGTTATTTAGAAGACCGCTCCCAATGCGTCAAAATAGGTAATATCGTAAGTGCCGATCTAAATTGTACACCCTTTGGAATTCCACAAGGATCAATATTAGGCCCTACTCTGTTTTTAATTTACATAAATGATCTCTGCAACATTAAAATTAGCAACGGTACTATTATATCATACGCTGACGACACAGCTCTCCTTTTTTCAGCCGAGTCAGAAAGTCAGGTACACATGCATGCGCAACGTGGTTTTAATATTGTCAATAATTGGCTTCAACACAATTTACTAACATTAAATGCAATCAAGACAAATTTTATTAAATTTTCGATGCGTAAATCAAAAGCAAACAACTATAATACAGTTTTATATGCCCATCATTGCAGTTCAGAGCCTTTTAATAATAATTGTGAATGTCCTGCCATTAAAATTACAGACAAATTAAAATATCTCGGAATAATTTTAGATGAAACCCTGTCTTACAAACACCACATTACTGCAGTAACTAACAGAATTCGTAAGCTGATAATGATCTTTAAAAAACTGCGCAATATTGCAAACTGTAAAATAATTAAACGGGTATACTATGCTTTATGTCAATCAATACTAACATATTGTATCACGTCATGGGGTGGAGTGGGTAAGACATTGCTGCTAACTCTTGAGAGAGCCCAAAGAGCAATCCTTAAGGTTTCATCTTCCCTACCTTTCTTTTATCCCACATATGAACTTTATAAAATTCATAAGGTATTAACAGTTCGGCAACTGTTTATAATGAACATCGTACTAAAACAGCACGTAGCTCTACCATACTATGTTGAACTTATTTCTGGTAAAAGACGTAAGGAACTAGTTTGCCCCCAGAAATATGGAAGAACAAAATCAGCTTTTGCATCCAGATTTTTCACTTTCCTAGGACCACTGCTCTACAATAGACTAAATGCAATAAAAAACATATATCCCTTAAATTACAAAAAATGTAAAATAAGCCTACAAGAAGCCTTACTATGCATGTCCTATGAAGATACAGAGAAGTTATTAGTTGTAGTTAAGTAGCATAAGGATATAGTTGTGAGAAGTGTTCGTTTCTCTTGATATTATTATTCTTGAATCTAGTATATTGCATCATTTTAGATTAGTTTTAAGTTAATTATATGTGTAATGTTTTACCAAATTTACTGTAATTTACCATATATAAATACACATGTTATTTTAATGGAAATTAATCGCCCGTTTCCGCCTGAAACACAGGATTTTCTTAGTTCAGGCGCATGTTTTGTTATACCTAAGCTAAAATTGTACTTTTAAGTTATTATTTTTGTACTAATTGTTAAAATAAAATTTTTATTATTATTATTATAATTACACGAGTACGTAAAGAGCGCGCATTCGAAACAGTCAAGCAAAGAATCACCTTCTAACTATTTTATCTGTATTTACGTTCGGCTACAATAAATATACATATATGCTCTGCCCGCTCACGTGTTCCCTCCCTCTTACAACCTGGGATCCTTTAAAAGAGGCGTGAAGAAGCAACATGCAGGCCGGCAGGGAGAGGATGGCTGGTGTGGCAGGTAGAACTGCTGTATCAGCTATCTTCACGTCTGGACTTCATCTTCACTTAACATCAGGTGGGGTGGAGTCATTTGTCGGACCTATCTATAAAAAAAAAAAATCTTACTTTGGTGACTTTTACCTACGTACTACAAACAACTATCATCTATAGTGCGATTCAAATAAGAATAGGAAAGCCAATGACCTCCATCTGTCAAATGTCGCTTGAAAAGGACGGTTTGCAAAAAAATCTTGGAACCCTTTTTTAGCACTCGGCTAATTCTAGAATAAAAACCAAACATTTGTAAACAAACAATAACTAATATTGATAATTAATATTGGTTGATATATATTTTTCATTTATTGAGCTTTGGCTATGAATGGTTGATAACCTAAATCGTCTACCAAATGTCACTTTAAGTTGCGTTCAGAAACTAAGGATAAAGAAACTTTAAAGGATGCATGGTCGTATGTGACCTAGTAATAGTGCAGAATTGAAGAGCAAAGATTCAGATTAATGTTTTTTCTCACACAGTCTTAATAAATGAATATTATTAAAAATCGGTTGTTTGTTTTTTCTCAATCTTAGTAAATAAATTTTATTAAAGAAACCTGATGTTTTTTCTCACTTAATCCTAGTAAATAGGTTATATTAAATAAAAACTTTTTTTGCTCACTCTACCTGTTTGGTTTGAATTGACAGCTATGATGTCACAATATGGTGTCCAATCGGTCCTATTCTTAGTTGAATCGCATTATATCAACATCTAAAAGGTGTGTAAAAGGTCTGACTCGTACAGTATATATAGTTTTTAATCCCTGACGCAGTACCTCGTTTACAGGCCATAGGCAACGCGAAGACGACCAGAAACGACAACTCCTCCCGTTTCGGCAAATTCATAGAGATCCACTTCGACAATTCGTACCGGATATCCGGCGCCAGTATGCGCACTTATCTCCTGGAGAAGTCCCGCGTTGTCTACCAGAGTTCCGGTGAAAGAAACTACCATATCTTCTATCAGCTGTGTGCGGCCGCAGTTCATATGCCGCAACTTAAATTAGGTAAGTTTTTACAAATCAAATTCGATAAAACGCTTTTTCTATTTACTTGCTGTCCCAGTGAACTTAGTACCGCCATACAAAAATAGGGGTTCGTGGTCAGTGTATTTGACCTAGGAGGACCTACCTATTGGAGGCCCTACCTGGGCATATTAGGATAATGGGGCCCCTATGACTTCCGTTTGGTGATTTAACAGGAACTAGGGACTTTGTATTTAATCTGAGGGGGGCCCCTATCGATCGTGGGGCCCTGGACATTTTCCCAAAGTGCCCACTGGGAAAGACGGGTCTGTTCGTGGTAGAAAGGTGAAAATTTAGAGTTGTATGTATTTTTGTATGATGTATCATAAAAAGATAAAAAAAAATGTCAAAAAAAAACAAGGAGGACCTTCACATTTAGGGGGATGAAAAATAGATGTTGTCCGAATCTCAGACCTACTGAATATGCATATAAAATTTCACGAAAATCGGTCGAGCCGTTTCGGAGTAGTTCAATTATGCACACCGTGACATTAGAATTTTTGTGTATTAGATTATTAGCTATCTTTATGTACTTACTAGCTGACCCAGCGAACTGCGTACCGCCATAAAAATAGGGGCAGGTGATACAAGAGAAAATTTAGGGTTGTATGTATTTTTAAATACCACATTACAAAAAAAAAAATTTTTTCCAAAAAAATTTTTAGGGATGTGTAACGTAGTGTTCTATCAATTACCTGGGATAACATTCCTCCTAACCCATATGAGAACACTACGTTACAATACCCAATAGTTTGAATTTTGACGCGAAGGCGCGTTGTAGGTTTCAGAACACTACGTTACAGGTGGACAACCATTATCACTTAATGATATGAAAAATAGATAGTAGCCGATTCTCAGACCCACGGAATATGCATATAAAATCGTTCAGGCCGTTTCGGAGGAGTATGGTAACTAACATTGTGACACGAGAATTTTATATATAAGATTATTAGCTATCTTTATGTACTTATATACTTCATCGATGCAATATTAGTTCCGTTTGTTAATAATCCAGTTCCTTTAACCAGTGCGTTAGAATTTTCTTACACTGATAAATCGTCTCTTTATCTTTATATATATAATTCTTCTGTGAGTGTGTATGTCACTGAACTTCTCTTAAACGACTGGACCGATTTTGATGAAATTTTTTGTGTGTGTTCAAGGGGATCTGAGAATGGTTTAGATTCACAATTTTGTCCGCTGGACAATGTTTTTTTAATTAATTTTTAATTTATTAGTAGTTGTTGATTTTGAAATGTTTTACATTGGATCCGACAGACGGCGCTACCATACTAGACAGGACAACGTCTGTCGGGTCCGCTAGTAATATTATAGTATAGATATTGAAGTGATATTGTCATTACAGATCACCAAGACCACTTTCATTATTTGAACCAAGGCGGCAGTCCCAACATAGACGGGGTTGACGATTTCAAAACGTTCAACGAAACAAGAAACGCACTCTCAACACTGGGTAAGTGATCTTTTACAGAAAAGCAGAACACTATAAGAGGAAAAGAGAGAAAAATTATAATTTTTGAAATGAAAACTTCTTTAGCGGTGTTGTACACATTTTTTCACGTGGGCTGATCGCATCATGACACACAATAAAATTGGAAAGGTTGTTGACTTTCAATATATTGGACGAAACATAGTTATATTTTATTTTATCGTATTATAATAATAAGTCTGTATCTAGGACGTTCAGGTGGCAGCTTTATTGCGAAGAAAATGCATTTTTTTTACTTTTTTTACAATAGATGTCGTTAGGTGCGCTTAAACGTGATTCATGTAAGTTGATTTTTCTGAGAAACAAACTTTTTTAATCTAATATAAATGGTCATGTTTGTGTACGATAGCGCAATAAATAAATATTGTATTCTACCACATAAATGATAGTACTTTAATATTGAAAATTAAAGCAATTCGCGCAAAATTATTCCCTAACCATTCCAAATTTCAAAAATGCGCAACATTAATATTCAAGTTTTCACTTCTGCCGGCACTCCCGGAGTGCAACCCGTCGTTTTTTTTATTTTATAAGCATGTAATTGCTCGTTGTTTAAATTTAAAGAAAATATGACTGGAAAAAATTCCACGCGGACCAGGCAGCAGGCGGGACTTGAACCCGCACCCTTCGCTATCCGGGCGAATGCACTGACCATTATGCTACCGCGGCCCTGATGACCGTGTCGAATTCTTTCTAGACTTTCTTAAGCGCAAGGCAGCTCCATCTCTTCGCATTGTAGGTAACCCACAATGGATAGCGAAGGGTGCGGGTTCGAGTCCCGTCCGCGTGGGTTGATTTCTAGTAATATTTTCTTTAGAGAGAAAAATTGGATAAAATAACGTGATAAGTAAAAATAATTATAGGTATATCTGCATCAACGATGTTATATCATCATCATCATCAGCCTATTAATGTCCCCACTTCTAATGGATCCTAATAATCCTATTAATGCACAGGCCTGTGGATGGAGTAGGGAGATTGGGCCATGACCCACCACGCGGGCCCATCGCGGATTGGTGGGTGCTAACGACTGCAGATACAGCCGGAACCTACGGCTAAATTTTAAAACACCAGCAACCTCTTAGGGGGTGATTCTACCCATCAAGAGGAACAACTTTTATTATGGGACCAAGGCAGAAATCGCGACAAAAAAAACGACGGGTTGCACTCCGGGAGTGCCAGCAGAAGTGAAAACTTGAATATTAACGTTGTGCATTTTTGATGTTTCGGAATGGTTAGGAAATAATTATGCACGAATTGCTTTAATTATCAGTCTAAAAGTACTATCATGTATGTGGTAGAATACAATATTTATTTATAGCGCTATCGTACACAAACATGACAATTTATATTACATTAAAAAAGTTTATCTCTCAGAACAACTTACATGAATCACGTTTAAGCGCACTTAGCGACATCTATTGTAAAGAAATCAACTTACATGAATCACATTTAAGCGCACCTAGCGACATCTATTGTAAAAAATGCATTTTCTGCCACCTGGACGTCCTAGATACTTATTATTATAATACGATAAAATAAAATATTACTATGTTTCGTCCAATATATTAAAAGTCAACAACCTTTCCAATTTTATTGTGGGTCATGATGCGATCAGCCCACGTGTTTAACCTAACGCGAGTTTAACTTTTTTTACCCATACAAAAAAAAGTGTACACGCCGCTAAAGCAGTTGTCACTTCATAAAAATCAGCTGTTTCATACATTTCGGTCGATTAGCTGATGCACTTTTGCAGATTTTTTTTTCGCGATTTCAGAGTTGGCCCTATAATAAAAGTTGTTTCTGTTGATGGGTAGAATCACCCTCTAAGAGGTTGTTGGTGTTTTAAAATTAACCCTGTATATGTCTATTACTCAACCTTTTTACGTAATAACATGACTTAATTTACGTATTATCCGTTCAGGTGTAACAGACACAGAACAACAGAACATGTTCACAATATTGGCGGCCATCTTGCATCTGGGTAACGTGGATTTGTGCGAGAGTGACCCGGATGTGAGCCCGGGACAAGAGGCAGAAGATGGGGCTTATATAAGCGTGAGTTTATTGAAATATCAAGAGGAAAACTTTATATATACAGGATGTTACAAAAATACAAATAAAGCTTCAAAGCCCTTCAAGGGCGTTGAAGTACATCATTTTATTTTATTTTATTTTTACAGTTTTTGGGAAACTTACAGCTAGTTTCTCTTACTTGCTATTCTGCATAGTATTTATGTTTAAGGCCAATTAATAGTTTCCGCGGAAAGTTACAGTAATAATTAAAAAAGTCGGCATGAAGCGCACATGATGCTTAAATGCATTATTAAGTAAGTATGTATACTATATATACTTATAAGCAATTAAAAAAGCAGAAAGATAAAAAATACATAGTTTAAGTACTCGGCTCAAAGAAAAGATTATTGATTTTTTTAAAAATGGATTCAAGCTGTCACAAAGCATATCAACATCTAACTGGCCTGATGAGTACTAGTTAAAAGTGTGAGGAGCTCTAATTGTCATAATATAAGGAGTCTTCTCTAATTTTTTAAAAATATTTGTATGAAGTTTTATCTTTTTATAAAAACAGTTATTTTTAATGATCCTCGAACTAGTGACGTGTCTTAAAATGATCGATGTATATACAGGGTGTTACAAAAATATAAATAAAGCTTGAAGGGCTTTAAATTACATCACATAAGGAGTCTACTCTAATTTTCTTAAAATATTTGCATGAAGTTTTATTTTTTTATAAAAACAGTGATTTTTAATGATCAATAAAAATATCGATCATTTTAAGACACGTCACTAGTTCGAAGAACATTAAAAATAACTGTTTTTATAAAAAGTTAAAACTTCATGCAAATATATTAAGTAATTTTCTTAATATATTTGCATGAAGTTTTCTTAATGATAACTCCTTATATAATGTACTCCAACGCTTTTCTAGCTTTATTTGTATTTTTGTAACACTCTATATATATATATTAACTAGATTTTTTTTTCCGTAAACATGTTGTTTTCGGATTTTTTATTTTTTTCCTGAAACATAATGTCTATTCCACAGTCGAACGATAAACACCTAGCCACCGTCTGCTCGTTACTCGGTCTATCCAAACTAGAACTGCTAAGATGGCTGACGCACAGACGGATAGCGTCAGCCCACGAAGTTATAGTGTCCAGAATGGACGTACAAAGAGCTATATTTGCTAGGGACGCGCTTGCGAAAAGGCTGTATGGAGAATTGTTCGCGTGGTTGGTGCAAGCAGTTAACAGAGCTTTGGACACGGGACACGCGAAAAAACACTTTATTGGTAAGTGAATAAAGGTTGTTCTTGTGTGTAATTTTTTTTTAACTGTCTATAGTATTAAGAGAGATATTGGCGAGAGAATCGCTTGCAAAAAGGCTGTATGGAGAATTGTTAGCGTGGTTACATATACATTTGACGACCTCCGTGGCCGAGTGGTTTGTACGCCGGGTTTCATGGTGTCGCCTACTCGAGAGGTCCCGGGTTCGAATCCCGGTGGGGGCAGATGTTTGTGTGATGAATACGAACATTTGTACTCCAGTCATGGATGTTTAATATGTATTTCTAAATAAATATATATGTATCAGTATATGTATTCTATCCGTTACCGTATTACCCCATAACACAAGCCTTACAGTGCTTACTTTGGGGCTAGGCTAATTGGTGTGCGTGTTGGAAATATTTATTTATTTATTTATATACAGGGTGTAAAAAAACCTATGACAAAGACTAAAACTACGCATTTTGTACACCAAAATAAGTAATATTACAAAGAATTATACGTGGGAAACATTGGGCAACATTCAAAATACAATGAAGTTAAAAAAAAATCATTTTTTTTCTAGTACGCAATGTATAGAGCGGCGCGCTGCTGTGGCACTACGCAAACAATATGCTTGTCTGTATGTGTGTACGTGTGTGTATGTGCGTCGATCACAAAGGTTCTAAATAATGTTTTTGTAAAAATCTAGAAAAAAAAATTGTGACTTCGATCTTCAATATCTCCATAAACATGAATTTCCCAGGTATTGTCCAAAAGAAAAATAAGATCGTCATGATGTGGAAAATACGTGGCCTTCGACTTCGTTAAAGGTTTTTTACATCCTTTACATACATCTATACTTATAATAAATCTGTAGAGAGGTCAATTCTGTACATGAAATATATTTTCAAAATAACTATCAGGGGGTGATAAGTGATCGATACTGATGCCAAAAATGCAATCAGTAAAATTTTTGTCTGTCTGTATGTATGTTCCTTATAGAAACAAAAAGTACTCGATGCATTTTAACGAAACTTGGTACAATTATTCTTCATACTCCTGGGCAGGTTATAGTATACTTTTCATCACGCTACAATCAAAAAGAGCAGAGTAGCGAAGGGAAATGTTGGAAAAACGGGAGAAGTTACTCCATTTTTTAAGCTTCCGTCGCGTGTGCAGCCTTAATGGTTAAAGTCACATAGAAATCATGTATGACGGAAATATTCTACATAAAATTGTCTAAAAAATATCCCGCAACAGCATATGTCTATCTTTTATGGTTGACTCACAATAACACGTTCAACTCCTGATAGTTTAGCAGTTCGGAGCATTCTGATTATATTTGTTTACTCTTACGTTTATAATACTCTCACTCATCCCTACTTTAAAAAAGTTAACATTATTACCTATTCAATAAAAAAAGAATTAAACAAATAAATTCATTGTGTACAATACACGCCTGAGAACAAAAACTATAGTCTACACTACAGCTCTACACCGAAGCGAAGCGAGGGCGGGCCACTAGTACTAAATAAATACATAATAATGACGACTGACTTTTAAGCTAGACTGCTCGTTCCCTTGTTTGTTGGTTTGAGTTTGAGAATCATTTTATTTATTTATGTATTGCGCAGGCGTTCTCGACATATACGGCTTCGAAACGTTCGAGATCAACTCTTTCGAGCAGTTTTGCATCAACTACGCTAACGAGAAGCTGCAGCAGCAGTTCAACTCGCACGTCTTCAAGCTGGAGCAGGACGAGTATATTAAGGTTTGTATGTTGTTTGTTTTAAAGTGATTTTTTTTTCGGATTGGGTGTAAATGGAAAAATCCTTTGAGGACGATATAACGGGAATGAGTCATGAGCGTTACAAGGCTTATATATATACTAGTGGCCCGCCCTCGCTACGCTTCGGTGTAGAGCTGTAGTGTAGACTACAGTTTTTGTTCTCAGGCTTGTATTATACACAATGACATTCATCTATGATTCTTCTTATAACTGCATGCAAAGTCTCAGCCCGATCGGTTTAAAATTGACAAAGTTTCATACAAACTTTCATTCCCTTTTTTATCCCCTTGGGGGTAGAATTGATCAAAATCCTTTCTTAGCAGATGCTTACGTCATAACATCTACCTGCATGCCAAATTTCAGCCCGATCCGTCCAGTGGTTTGGGCTGTGCGTTGATAGATCACTATGTCAGTCAGTCAGTCACCTTTGAGTTTTATATATAAAGATTTATTTTAAATAAGTATCTCTATGTGTAACGTTGACTAACATATTTCTTAAGTGACAATTGTAACCAACAAAGATTGATCAATGAATTTGTTTTGATTTGATATCCCAATCCTGTGTAGTAACCTCGTTGCAGAGGTACCACGGCATGGATAATTTAGCTGATCGACCCCGCAGCGGTCGCTCAACTGTTTTGATAGCTGCTCAGAAGGGCTACATCAGGTTGCTGGTAGCCCGCGACCCAACAATAAACGCCACTAAATAGGGTATTTGACAGTGTTAAAAATAAAGTGCCAATTGTTAGCATCTGCGTTTAGAATGAATATTGCCAGGGGTTTTTACTATTTTTTTCAAAAAAATATTCATAATTTTACTAAAAACTAACGAAAAAGATAATAGTTTTCTTATCTATTGTCCCGTGACCCAAAACGCTTCGGATTGGCGGAGCCTAAAATGACGTCACACGCAAGTAAACTTCCGGTTACAGTGACATTACATTGTATCGTTTGACGTTTTAATAACAGTCGTGTGACGTCACACACTAGTAAGACGCAATATTGTCCAGAGAAACGTTTTCGCGGCAACATGAAAATGGAGTTTTTGATTTGGTTATTTTCACTGAAATATACAACAGAATGATGAATATCCACTTTTTACGGACTCCATAAACATTAGTCAATAACGTGAGATCGTTTTCTAAAACTTGTCAAATACCCTATTAAAAGCAGAAAATTTTCATTTACTTGCTATAAGAGAAAGAACATGTGCGCGCGCACTGGTTTCTCTTGCTTATATCCTGCACTCAACTCGCCTCACCCGAATTCGCCAGCTTAACCCCCAAGTCAAGCGTGCGCAAAGAATTTTCACTTCAATAAATCAGTGCATCTACACCGTTAAAACTTGTTTTATTTAAGTACACATATACGCTGACGATAATGCCTTCCCACCTTTCTCCAACAGGAAGAGATATCCTGGAAAATGATAGACTTCTACGACAACCAGCCGTGCATAGACCTTATAGAGGATCGTTTGGGGATCCTTGCATTGTTAGACGAAGAATGCAGGGTGCCCCAAGGCTCAGACCATGGGTTTGTTCAGAAGCTGCATGACAAATGTTCCAAGTACCCTCACTTCATGAAACCGCGCTTTGGGAACGCTGGTGAGTTATTAGATTACTAACTATGATACCCGGCTTCGCTCGGGAGATGATATGATTTTACGTGGTAAATACAAAAAAACGACGGGTTGCACTCCGGGAGTGCCGGCAGAAGTGAAAACTTGAATATTATCGTTGTGCATTTTTGATATTTTGGAATGGTTATGGAATAATTTTGCACGAATAAAAGTACTATCGTTTATGTGGTAGAATACAATATTTATTTATTGCGCTATCGTACACAAACATGACAATTTATATTACATTAAAAAAGTTTATCTCCCAGAAAAATCAACATACATGAATGACGAGGAAGTCTGTAACAAGAAGTCGCGAAAGCGCGCGCTATTTGATGTGATTTTAGAACATAATGTTCAAATGGCTTATTCCTTTTGTAGTAGGTTTTATTTCTTTTTTTACTAATATAAGGTGAGGTTTCAAATGTTACACGTCATACGCGACTACTGGGCTGTTCAAGTATTACGTAAGCATTATAGGGGGGCAGGGGGGTCTTTGCTTTGCTTATTTTTGATGACATGGGGGGGTGGGGGGGGGGGTAGAGATGGTGATTACGTCAGCATCATCGATTAAGTACTGCTGCTCATGAAGCTCATGAAAGCTCATGAATCAATAAAAAGAACAATCATCATCATCATCATCATCAGCCTCTTAATGTCCCCACTGCTGGGGCACAGGCCTTCCCTATGGATGGAATAGGGAGATTGGGCCATGACCCACCACGCGGGCTCAGTGCGGATTGGCGGGTGCTAACAACTGCAGGTGCAACCGGGACCAACGGCTTAACGTGCCTTCCGAAGCACGGAGGAACTCGAGATAGATTTTTTTTTGGTCACCAATCCAATGACCGACCACTGCAAAAGATGCTTAACTACAATCATCGCAGCCGAACGCGCTAACCACTTGCGCCATCGAGCTCCTCAATAAATTAAAGGAAAAATGCATATAGGTACCAATGTTTACGTAAGGATGGGGGGGGGGGGAGGGGTAAGAGCTTTGCTTACTTTTGCTGACGAGGGGGAGGAGGGGGTAAATAATTGTAATAAATCTGCTTACGTAATACTTGAACGGCTCCTAAGGCTCGCTCGTTTTTTTTTTTATTTTGTGCTTAAACTCGATAACACCTTACAGCGTTCATAATAAAACATTTCGCTGACAACGTGGAATACCAATGCGGTGGTTTCCTCGAAAAGAACCGAGACACGGTCTCCGAGGAGCAGTTGGAATGCATCAGATCTGCGACATGTTGCCGTCTCGTTCACACAATGCTTACTCCCGAGAGATCGACGGAGCAAACTGCCACTCTACCGCCTCCTTCTAGAAGGAGAACTACGCCTTCCGTGCAACCGGCTAGTTTGACGGTAAGTGTTTTGAATTCATTTCCAATACAACATTCAAATCTAAAAAAAATATAACTAGAAAAAAATTCAACGCGGACCAGGCAGCAGACGGGACTTGAACCCGCACCCTTCGCTATCCGGGCGAATGCACTGATCAATTATACTACCGCGGCCCTGATGGCCGCGTTGAAATTCCTCTAGCCATTCTTAAGCTGCAAGGCAGCGCCATCTCTTAGCATTGTAGGCAACTCACACTGTCAAATGAATACTTTTACAAGTGTCAAACATTTGAAAGAAGAAATAGAAACATTAAAATTTAAGATGGCGTCTTATTTTCTTTACAACAATGGTGGTTCTTATTATTATGTAAGGTAGCCGACTTACATATAAAGAAAATATTATCAATTATTTGACACACTTAAAAGATATTGCACTAACTTTCTTAAATCAATTATAAAAGTTAACTATGTTCAGGCCATATTTTTTTTCAACTTCAACAAGAAAAGATGTTCCTAAAACAATGATAATAGAAGGTCATTGGCTAAACACGACAAGGCCGCGATTTTAAATAATGTCACTGTGTAATAAATTTTATTACAAGTGCAGAATAATATAAATGAAGCCTGTAATCAGGCGGGTTAGATATTACTAATATAGCAGACGAACATAACGATGATTTGTCACTATTATTTCCGAACTACATTTTAGAGCCAGTCGATTCTTAATATTAATGAAGTATTAGTAATGTTTTGTGTTTATGGAGGATGAAAAGGAATGGATTAGTAAAATGTCGCTATTATTTTCCGAATTACAATTAAGTCTCCCTACATGCCTTAAGTTGTATACATGATTTGTGAAAGTAATATTTATAAAAGAAAGTATATTAGCAATGTGTCACTTTTATTTCCGAACGACAATTCAGTCTGAATTAGCACCAAATGAAGCGCCCGTGCTATATAACTACATTATCACCATAAGCGATGATTTGGAAACCTGTCACTTCTATTTCCGAAAACCAATTCGATGTCAATTAATATCTAATAATATTCCCAGCAACCTCCCCGCCGTGCCTCAGGCCAGAAGCAAACCGTGGGCTCTCAGTTCCGAGCGTCACTATTTGCTCTAATGGGAACTTTGTCCGCGACCACTCCGCACTATGTGCGATGCATCAAGCCCAATGATACAAAGGAAGCTTTCCAGTTCCACCCCGCCAGAGCTGTCAATCAACTTAGGTGAGTCACTATTTCGGAAAACATTTCAACTCGACACAACTCAAAGTTTGAATCAGTTAACATATTTATTATAAACTAGCGATCCGTCCTGAGGAGCTCGATGGCGCAGGTGGTTAGCGCGTTCTGCTGCGATCGTTGAAGTAAAGCCACTTTCGCAGCGGTCGGTCATTGGATGGGTGACCAAAAATCTTGTATCTCGAGTTCCTCCGTGCTTCTGATGGCACGTTAAGCCGTTGGTCCCGGCTGCATCTGCAGTCGTTAGCACCCGCCAATCCGCACTGGGCCCGCGTGGTGGGTCATGGATCAAATTCCCTATTCCATCCATTTGATGGTTACATTTCTCATTTTGATGCCATTGAGGAGGCCATTGAGGAAAGATACTTTGTTTCGAATGACAAAACGTTACACGTAGGTAATTAATTGTAAAGGAAAGGGCTAGATCTATCTTTTCTTTCAAATAAATTATCGCACTGGTGAAAGTAAAATGGACCGAATGTATTTTATTGCTATTAATTTCTTATAAATTATGATCGGAGTGTAGAACTGAACGCAACTCTAATTGAACGGTTTGTCAACGTGACTTTGTTTTTATTACCCGGCTGCGCAATGCAAGAGCGCGAAGCGCGACGCGCAGACAGGGTTATGTGTTTAACAGTCTATATATGTATGTTTGTTCCTTTGTGGCACACTAGAGACCAAACGCCTGGACCGATTTTGATGATTCATACATCAATCGATTCGTCTCAATCATGGGAGTGCTACTAAAGATATGATAGTAATCAAAATTCAATATGGGCAAAATTAGGCGCCATATTGTGACGAAGTAAAAAAAATAAGTTGACAAAATGTGTCGAGTGGGGTATCACTGTCTAGATAATCAAAAATCATATTTAAATTCCTAACACCATTTTTCATTTTATATGATTGTTTAGGATCTACAACGCTTTAAAGTTGTATATTAACCACTTACGCTTTTAATTTCAATCTTACGTTTGTATAGATCTTTGTTACTCTTTCACCTAAAAAATACTGAATGGATTTTAATGAAACTTAACAGTAATATAGCTCATATACGATAATTACATATATATAATAATTTATGTAGTTATTCAGTGAATTGGCCAATATTTAACAATAAGTGTCTGTTCGGAAATCTAAGGGCACACGCCAGATTCCCTCCCGATTGATTAAGTAGTCGCATAGCAACACGCGTATCGAGTGGTCGGTCGATCTGCGCACGAGTAAGGTGCTCCCGGCTCGCGTCGTTTTTTTGCCTAATTAAATGAATACCTACTCAGGTGTCTTGGCAGCCTAGATAGGGCCCCCTGTATATGAGTAGATGTTTGTGTGTTCCACTGTGTTTTGTGAGCAAGTGTTCCTTGGAGATTCAGGGCCTATTGACGGGCTTTGATCAGTTTCGACCTCGGGGGAGCGCTCCTCCCCTCGCTGCTGCTCAGGTGCTGTATGGGGCACTTGCTAAGTGAGTTTTTTTGTATTGTTAATAGGATTAGGTATTTCTAACGTGCGATTCTAGCTCCGCGTATCGCGGACGTAGGTGTTTACCCCGGTATTTGGTTTTGGCTAGGGTGACGAGTTTTCCACCCCCCAGAAACCGGGCGTACGACACATACTTTCTGGTAGCAGAGCGTAGTTGGCTATATTTGGTTAGCACCACTTATTGTTTTGTATAGCCATTGGGCTAGTTGTTAAATATTATTATTTGTTAAATATAAATTGTTTATTTAATTACTGGACTGCACGTTCGATTTGCCTATTATTAGGTCGTGTAGGTTTAATGTTCTAGTGTCTACCATAAAAAAATAATGTAAAATATTTAAATTCATTTTAATAGAAAGTTAGTCAATAACCATTCACGTGCTCGGTGAATGATACCTGCGTGGCAGATTCTTTTGTTCCCTGTTTGTTAGCAGGTGCTACTAGTTTAAGATAAGCCGGCCGGCGAATGTGTTCATGCGGTTATCGGCCGTACACCGTAGGGAATTAGGTTTGTTTGCATATAGCAAAATTTATACTGTTACTTTGTAATGAACGATGTTTTTTCTGTATTGAGATATTTTATTATATTTAAATTCAATATCTTAAGGTTGTTAAGGTTTAGTTTTGGGTAGAAAAACCCTAAGAATATTTTGTTTGGAATATTGTATTGCATTTATTTGCGTTTGTTATTTGGATATAATAATTGATATTATTCACGCTTCCACTTAAATTTAAATTAATTTTAATTGTAATAATTGTAGTTCGAAATAATGTCGGCACTTTCTAATAAAGCCAAAATTAGGGCTGAGTTGCGATGGCTAGTTACAGCCGCAGCCTTGTTGGATAGACCAGATAGACAGGAAGCCTTATTGAATAGGTATGTTGATCTTCCTATACGAATGGCGGTGGTCGACGAGCAATATGCTTTGTTTTTAGAAAGGTGCGGCAGTGTTGAGGATGTTGTCCGCAAGGAGGTCGAAAATGATGTCGACCAGTGCTACGATCTTTCAGATCGTATAGCGGAGGTGGCACGACCCCTTCTGCAGGGTAGGGAAGCAGACTCGGACTCCACAAAACCTCTGTCAAAATCGATGCCCGCTTTGTGGTCGCGCCTACCACCTCTTGATTTGCGTCACTTTTCAGGGAGACTCGAGGAATGGGAAGGGTTCTCTAATTTATTTAATAGCCTTGTGGACGCTAGGGAGGATTTGACCCCGGGACAAAAACTCGCCTATCTTCTCACCGTTTTGGAAGGGGAGGCTCGCGAGCAGGTTCAGCACCTGGCCCCCACGGACGAGAATTATAAGGTGGCGATGGACATTGTTACCCGACGGTACCAAAATGTGAGGAGACTAGCTGACGCTCACGTTGCTAGTATTTTAGGACTCCCGCGAGTAACTAGTGTGTTGCGTTTACGGGTGGACATATTGAACCCGCTCCTAGTGGCCGTGAATGCATTACGCAGTTTGAATCTGCCGGTCGAAGAATGGTCTTTTCTTTTATTGCACATTGTGTTAGTTAAATTACCCGATAATTTATAGGTGAGATTTGAGCAGAGATTTGGTGGGGATAGCTCCACATACCTGCCTCCCTTTAAAGACCTGTTAAAATTTATGGAGGATGAATGTAGGTTAGCGGATAATTCCGATGTGGCTGGCCCTTCCTGGGTGAAGACTAGAGATCCCCCAGCGTCGTCGAATAGACTCCCACGTACGGGACGACAGGAACCCCGTCAGCCCAAACGTTACGCTGTGGTTCAGGAAACCTCGAGTTGTACGTACTGCAAGGGCTCTGGGCATCAGACGTCTAGCTGTCGTAAGTTCTTAGGTCAGCGTATACAGGGTCGTAGGACTATCGCTCGCCAAAGGGGTTGGTGCTATTCATGTTTGGGCTTGCACTACCAGCGAGAATGTTCCCAGGCACACCCTTGTAAGTATTGTGGTGACAAGCATCATGCATCCTTGTGCATGAACATGAATGGTGTTGATATTGAACGAGACAGTGGGCGTAATGTTGGTGTTTCGAGGATTAGTGACACCCCCCGTATGGGCGGGGGCGTTATGCCCAATAATCCCCGCACGGGCGGGGGCGTTGTGCGAAATGATTATCAACGTAATTCTGATGGTGAGTCAGTCGGGTCTAGACGATCCCAGGTGCGACGAGATCCCCGCAAGGACGGGGGCCCTAGAGATCACCCTCCACCCAGCGACCAGAGGAACACCGCGCATATTGGTGTCACTACCGAAAACCGCCGAGTCTCGCCGCCACTTGTTGACCGTCCACGCATAGACCGTCGTCGTGGAAATCAACCCAGATGGAACGTGCTTGAGCGCTATGAGCGACCGTTTCCGTCGGATAGTTTCCCGGTTGATTATTAACAATTAATGTCGCCCCAGCTTTCTCCAGAGACTGTTCTTCTGCCGACGGCCTCTGTGTGTGTTAGAGGGCTGAGGGGCAAAATTGTCAAAGCACGGGCTTTGTTAGATTCGGGTGCTCAGGGTTGTGTTTTGTCGTCTTCTTTGGTTGGCCAGTTGGGCCTTAAGATACAACCTCACCATGAGGGAATCAGGGGTATCGGTGATGTGAAAGTGCCCAAGTTAGTTGGTGAAGTCCAGTTCACTTTCACCCCCGTTTCAAGTTCATACCCGAGCATCACTGCATCAGCTATAGTTTTGAATACGGTTGTAGGTAGACAGCCGTCGTTTCATATTGATCCCTCTGTTTTTGTTTTGACGTCTGGATTAGCATTGGCAGATCCCAAGTTCTACGTCCCAGGTCCGGTTGATGTACTGCTGGGAGCAGACGTCCTAGGGCGATTGTTGCAAAGGAACAAGCGGGTACTACAACCGAGTGGTTTGGTTGCCGTAGAGACGGTACTCGGTTTTGTTGTGATGGGTCCCGTACATCACGTTACTCCCACGCCTGTTGATGATAACGCCATTGTTGTTGGGTCCTCTCTCTCTGATACCCTTCAGAAGTTTTGGGAAGTTGAGGAACCCCCCTCCGAACCACAAGTCAACCCAGAGCAAGAGGAATGCGAATTATTCTATCAGAATAATACTGGTCGTCTCCACTCTGGTCGTCTCTTGACTCGATTGCCCTTTCGTGCCGGTCGACCTCCTCTGGGAGAATCCAGAATGCTAGCGGAAAAGAGGCTAGTGTCGATGGAGCGCCGCATGAGCAAAGACCCGGTCTTCCGTAAGAAGTACATTGACTTCATGCGGGAGTATGAGGTGTTGGGCCATATGTCGGTATCGGATTTGGATTGGCGCTCGGTGGAGCATTACTTCCTTCCGCATCATGCTGTTTTGAAAGGAGGTAAAATTCGTGTGGTATTTGATGGTTCCGCCCCCACGTCTTCTGGTGTCTCCCTTAATCAATGTCTGCATGTAGGTCCTAAGATGCATAAGGAGATCTCAGACATCCTTACGAATTTTCGTAGACACCAGATTGTATTTATGACGGATATCCGAATGATGTTCAGGCAGACTGTTATTCACCCA